CACAACAGAGTAGCTAGAGATGAAGATGGAGGGAAAGGGCAGCCAATCATGAAGAAACTTTTGAGTTACGATGCAATGTTTGTACTTTATCCTGAGCATAATGTGGAGACACTGAAAGCTTCTAAATCATATTTGAAGTTGAGAGGAGCAGGGACAGGAAGCAGGATGACCAGGTATGAGATTATGGCTATAAGCCACAATGGCGGCCTAAAGTTGGTATCAGCAGTGGGAACTAAGAGAGCACATGAGAACAACCTTCCCTGATTCCATAGGATGGGCGGGGCAGCTCTTTTTCTTTTGTGATGCATATTCCTTTGTACTCATGGCCCTCATTGCAGAGTGTATCATAATATATCTTAACGACACAGTAGAACAGATTCCCAGAGTAGTGTCTTGCTTCTAGTCCCTCACGCAATTTCTGGCACCTGAATATATGCACGTTAATGTAAGAGTGTAAATATGACTGACTCTCTTTTCTCTCTCTCTCCTCGTACCTCTCTTTTTAACAATGACCACTCATAGGCATGATGCAGCCCCTCGAATTAATGGAATTGTTTTCTCCAATAGAGAGACCACTGTTATTATAAAAACTCTCAGTGGTAATTTCTATGCAAAATGGTATTATATGCTGAACATTAAGTTAAATATGGCACATTTTCTGACCTCAGAAACATATAAGTTACATACTTTGAACTTAAAAAAATTAATTTTGGTATAGTTTAGTTTCTTTCTTTTCAACTCCAAATCATTAAGTATATATATATATTTTTTTACTGAGTGAATCTTTTCAGATGTGTTATTCCTAAACTCTTTGTGTATATAAATCCTTTCCAGAATTTTCTGAATATTAGATGATTTAATTAAACAGTCTCAGTTCCTGAACATTAGAAAATGTATTTTTAAAGTATATCTGATTCAGTCATGTTTCTAGTGAGCAATACTCTTCGCTGTATACAAAAACGTTAAATGAATGAACAAGGCTACAATTTCAAAAAATATTTTATAGGTACAAGGCTGCATAGTATTTTATGAAGCATACTACTAACACTGAACAAGAAAAAATGCGGGAAATATGAATAATTTTAATTATTTGCAATTATTCAATAATAAAATTTCTTTTTTTTTTTCATTTACTGCAATATATTATTTGCCTCTGAAATGTATACTTCCTCTTAAATTCCAAATAGAGTTTCTTGGTTTTACAGGGTTCTAATGAATTACTGCCTCCAAGTCTTGGTGAAATATGTTTTTGCTTGCAAAAACAAAGTAGATCCTGAGGTGGTATACGTAATATGGGAAAAGTTTTCAATCAGCAATATTATGCTTTGGATAAAATTCATTGCCTACACATTGCAAACGTCATTGTCACTGTCACTGCACAAAGCTTAATATATGCAATACGATCTTATTTATTGGTATGATCTATTATGAAATACTTAAAATTATCTTTATTTTATTTATTTATTTATTTATTTATTTTGAGACGGAGTTTTTGCTCTTGTTACCCAGGCTGGAGTGCAATGGTGCGATCTTGGCTCACCGCAACCTCCGCCTCCTGGGTTCAGGCAATTCTCCTGCCTCAGCCTCCTGAGTAGCTGGGATTACAGGCACGCGCCACCACGCCCAGCTAGTTTTTTGTATTTTTAGTAGAGACGGGGTTTCACCATGTTGACCAGGATGGTCTCGATCTCTCGACCTCGTGATCCACCCGCCTCGGCCTCCCAAAGTGCTGGGATTACAGGCTTGAGCCACCGCGCCCGGCTTAAAATTATCTTTAAACAGATATTACTTTAGAGGGTTGTTGGCATCTGTATTACATGAGGTAACACATTATAAAGTGTTACACATATTATATACTCAGTAAATGTGTTAATTACCATTGTATTATTGTTTTTACTCTTACGTGCAGTCTGCTTTCTCTTACAGAAATCTCTGCAGATGTAGGACCATCACCTTTGCTATGTGGTACTTTCTTGGCCTATGCACATCTGAAAACCATAAACATGCTTAGCAGTGTGAGGTAACAAGTAATTATGTCAATAAAGATTCATTTCACACTGAATTTCCACAAACTGAAAGCTTTTTAAATGTTTTCTGGAAGGCAAAGTTGACCTAACAATGCATATGAAGAAATAATTTGTAAAAAATACTACAGGTCATCTGGAATCATGAAAATATTAATGATTCTTCCCAAGCCATGTATTCTGGAAAATTCCAACTAATGAGTGCACAGCCACGTTAGCAAGCAGGAGACATAAACAATGGACAGGCACCATTTTTCTCCTTTGAACAACCATGAACTGAATATTAGTTGAAAGTAAGAAATAATAAGTACATTTTCTTAGAAATTCCCACATACTTTAAATACCAGACTTCTGGGTCCACAAGACTTCATTTTGTGACACAGGGGTTCACAGATCAAACAGTTGAAAAAAGCTTCAAACTTCACTAAAAGTCTAGAAAGATCAGAAAGAATGAAGGGAGATCACTGCCCAATACCTGCTCCTGTGGATGGGAGAAGCATAATGCATATACAGTCGAGTAGCTAGGAAGGAAGGAGAGACATAGAAGAAATGAGAGTCTAGGCTAAATATCAGGGCGGCATCTTGGCCTACAGACTTGGTAACAGGCCCATTGTCTGCAGCTGAAGGGGACCCTTCTCCTAGTACCAGCCCTACTGACCAACATTCTGGAAATCCAGAATGCCCAAGGATCAGACGATATTCGTGCCAGCTCGATCACCTGGTAACAGCCTTACCAACCACAAACTGTGATCTGGAGGTAATCCCATCAGCCCTGGGACCCAGCAAAAGCAGAAAACCAATGCATCAATAAAACAAGACATTTAATAAATAAATAGAAATCATAAAAAAGAAGCAGACAGAACAAAAAATATTGTATTATCTCATTTGTAAGTAGAATCTTAGAAAGTCAGCTCACAGCATTGCCAGGGCCTGAGGGTGGGGATACAGGGAGGTGTTGGTCAAAGGGTACAAACGTTCAGTTGCAAGATGAATGAATTCCAAGAATCTAATGTACAGCATGGTGACTATAGCAAATACTACTGTATTGTTGACTTGAACTTTGCTAAAAGAGTGAACAGGTATATCACAGGGCAAAAATGGGAGTGAGAGAGTTTGGGTTGGGGGTTGGGTGCCACACACTTTTAAATGACTAGATTCCACTAGAACTCACTGTCACAAAGACAGCACGGAGCCATGAGGGATCTGCCACCATGATCCAAACACCTCCCACCAGGCCCCACCTCTAGCATTGGGGATGATCATTCAACATGAGGTTTGGGCAGGAACAAATATGCAAACCATATCAGAGCTATAGGTCTAAAGCGCCAAGTGAAACTCAAGTGTCAGCTTCAGGGACTCACAGTAGAAAGAGCTTCACCATATTGGGATCTTGATGTCACTCCTAAACTGAACTGAGGTGTTGCTTAAGTTTTGATCGTTACTTTTTTATGGTATCTCAGTCTGTAAACAGGGACTTCTGTCATTCTCTCTGTTCCTTTATTCTAACGAGCTTTTTGCTCATGATTCCATTTCCTTTGGGAATTAATCCCACCCTGAACCTCAGCCCAATATCAAAGGCTAGCAGTTTACTGTATTCACAGCTGCACTCAGGCAACTGAGGGCTCCATAATCTATCAGCTTATGGCTGACGATCATTCACTCCTGTAACTCCATGTAAACTATTAATAGGTTCCTTGATGTTGTGTTCTATATGCCTGTCTGGAAGCTTCCATTCCAGCCAGCTCAGGAGACAGCTCTTCCAAAATCAAGCTCTGTCATCAGGAAGTTTCCTCTGTTCTTATCCTTCCTCAATATTGGATACTGAACTGGGCCCCAGTTCTTCCTCAATTATTCTTTCCTTTCTTTCCATTCTTTCTTTCTTTGAGATGGAGTCTCACTGTGTTGCCCAAGCTGGAATGCACCATCTCGGTTCACTACAACCTCCACCTCCCAGCTTCAAGTGATTCTCCTGACTCAGCCTCCTGAGTAGCTGGGACTACAGGTGCCTGTCACCATGCCTTGCTAATTTTTGTATCTTTAGTAGAGATGGAGTTCCACCTATGTTGACCAGGCTGGTCTCGAACTCCTGACCTCAAATGATCTACCCACCTCGACCTCCCAATGTGCGGGATTACAGGGGTAAGCCACCACCCCTAACCCCGCTTTACTTCTTATATAATCTGCATCACTACTGCCTGCACTCAAGTATCATTTCAAGATTTAACAGTAAGGATTTGGCTTAAATATCATCCTAAAACAAACAAATTCACCTACAATTATCTTTTGATAATGTCAAGCAAGTATTTAAAAAAAATAAAACAGGTTTGGCCGGGTGCGGTGGCCTCAAACCTGTAATCCCAGCACTTTGGGAGGCCGAGGCAGGGTGGATCGCGAGGTCAAGAGATAGAGACCATCTTGATCAACATAGTGAAACCCCGTCTCTACTAAAAATACAAAAAATTAGCTGGGCATGGTGGTGCGTGCCTGCAATCCCAGCCACACAGGAGGCTGAGGCAGGAGAATTGCCTGAACCCAGGAGGTGGAGGTTGTGGTGAGCCGAGATCGCGGCATTGCACTCCAGCCTGGGTAACAAGAGCGAAACTCCGTCTCAAAAAAAAAAAAAAAAAAAAAAACAGGTTTCTAAATAATACTATAGATAAAAGATTGATAACTCGATATATTTTTAATTAAAAGAAAGATTAAATAACAACTGATATACATTTAGAATTAATGGTCCACTTAGCAAGAGATGGCTCACATCTTTTTTTTTTTATGTGGAAATAATATGATACATTTATTAGATACACCTAGGACAAGAACAGAACTAAGTACTCCAACTCTACTGCAGCATTACAAAAAATCATCCCTTCACCACAGTGTAAGATTTAAGGACAACCTGCCCAAGGATGCCCATGATATAAAACACAGCAAGATTGCTGCTGACCTGTCAAGTACTTCCAGTCTCTACCCAGGTCCTACTGAAATACTGGTGGTCCCAATTAGTTTTATTGAAATAAATCTTTAAAGAAAAAGATAAAGCATTTAAAAAGACAAATCAAAATGCTTCAGGAACCACATATCCAACACAAACTTTATCCTCAAATGAGTTATGTCTGCCTCACACTAATAAACTTTTATTTCACTCAAATTAGAGCAAAAATCTTCTATACATTCAGTATCTTCCCTGCCCAATAATTCAAAGAAAAAAACATCCAAAGTGATTAATAAAGAAAAATACAAGAATTAACAGACCCTTTAAATTTGTTTTAAATATTTTTAAAGTTAAAAAGTGTTTAAAGTTTGTAATTCCTAGTAGGAAAACATTATCTGAATGAATACCCTAATGGCAAACCACTGTAAAATGCTTCAGCTGCATTTGGGGGAGAGGAGTAGGGATTATCTTCAAAGCACCCCAGCTCTCTTGATGAGAAGGTCAGAGGTACACTGGTTTGTATTATTGCGACATCCATAAGGTGATCTAGGTTGCTTTTCCTTCAGCAAAGGCTTTATTTATCAGAAGGGCATTATGCTTGACCTCCAAATTTGGCTGACAATTTGCTGATAAGATTCATAACCTTTGGGTTGCTCTGGTATTTTGACATATTTGCTGGGTTCTGAGCCACATCCTGGAAGGCCACCATAACTTCTGGATCCTGCATGGCTGCAAGAACCTCCGGATCACTAAGAATTTCATTGAGTCCTGGCATTCCGGCCATTCCAGGCATGCCCCCTCCCATTCCAGGCATTCCTCCGGGAAAACCACCAGGCATTCCCCCAGGAAAGCCACCTGGAAAAGAGCCATACTGAGCTCCTGACTGTCGTCTGGCTTCTTCCTCCCTCTGGGCTCTCTCATGCTCCTCTCGAGCCTTCTTAACTCTTTCTATTCTTTCTTTGATCTCTCGCTCCTCACGTTTTCGCTCATACTTTCTCCGATATTCTGCAATTTTCTGTGCCCTAGGTTGAACTTCTTTCAGCATTGCACTCGCATCTTCATCATAATCCAGTTTACAGGCAAGGGCACGATCATGGGCTGCTTCTTCCCAGTGGCCTAGAAGTCTGTGTGCTTTCCCTCGCCACTTGTAAGGCTGAGCTGAATCAGGATTTATTTCAATGGCTCTGTCACAGTCTCGGATGGCAGCATTTGGCTTCTGTAATTTGACGAAGACAGTGGCCCTCTTGGCATACAAAATGGCCAAGCGAGGATTCAGCTTGATGGCATCTGTGAATAAGTCAATGGCTTTCTGCAATTCACCGTCATTTAGGGCTTCAATAGCAGACACTTTCTTATCATTTGCCTGATCTATCATCTCCTCCGTTATCTCTGTATTTTTATCTCCCATTTCTTGAGGGGCGTCAGTGTCTGGTTCAATCACACCTTCATTATCAATTTCTAGATCACTTTCCTCACTTGACGGTTCGTCTGCCTTTAAGTCTTCCTCTACCTTCTTACTATCAGGTTTTTCTTCCTTGGTATTTTCTTCTGATTTAGCTTTCTGAGTAGCAGGTGGTATTTTACCTCCCATACTCTCCACCCACTCCCTCAGGAAGCGCATTTCCTCTGTGTGCAGAACGCTCGGATCCTGCTTACACATCTTCACAAAGGCGCGAAGCTCGTTCACTTTGCGGGGGTCCATGGTCGGGAGGCGGTGGGCAAAGCTATGGGTCTGCGGCCCGCTTCCAGGCTGAGGCGCTGGCTCGGCGTGACCGCGCAGAAGGGGCGGCTCACATCTTTTTAACACAACTATTTAACAGCTGAGTGAGCTTTCAATCCAATCTGCACTTGCCAAAAAGTTTTTAAGGGTTTATTAGGAGATTTCTACACGTCAGAAATGTATATGGGTCATATACATTTATTTGAGAAAATATGTAAGATTTATATGAGAAAATAAACACAAAGTGGGCCAAGTGTAGTGGCTCACGCCTGTTAATTCCAGCGTTTTGGGAAGCCTAGGTGAGAGGATCACCTGAGATCAAGAGTTCAAGAACAGCCTGGCCAACATGGCAAAATCACATCTCTAACAAAAACTTAAAAAAAAAAAAAAAATTAGTTGGATGTGGTAGTGCATGCCTCTAACCCCAGCTATTTGGAGGCTGAGGACCGAGAATCACTTAAACCTGAGAGGCGGAGGTTGCTGTGAGCCAAGGTCACACCACTGCACTCCAGCCGGGGTAACAGAGCAAGATTCTGTCAACAAAAAAAAAAGGGAAGGGAAAGGAAAAGGGGAACGAGAAGGGGAGGGGGGGAGGGAAGGGAAGGGAAAAGCGGAGGGAAGTGAAAGGAAAAGGGAAAAGAAGGGAGAAAAAGGGTAAGAGAGAAGGAAGAGAAGGGAAGGAAGAAAGAAGGGGGAAGGGAAGGGCGGAAGGGAGGGAGGGAGCGAGGAGGGAAGGAAGGAAGGAAGTAAGGAAGGAAGAAAGGGTTGATTTGGGGAGCCAAAGTGATTAGGAAATATATAATAATATAAAAATAAAGGTAAAAACTTTCCAGAATGCTCAGAAGTTAACGTTAATGTTCTAGTTAACCTATTTTTATGGATACCTTAGCTACTAGCCAACTAATTCCTTAATCTTAGGGTTTTTTTGCTTTAACCTTTGTTACTGAAAGCATTCATAAAACATATTTGTCTATGTCTATTCCAAACTTTCTGAACCCTTTTAATGACTTAGAACTTCAGAGGACTATAGAGGCATTATTCTGAACATTTATGTTCACTTCAAATACAGAACGTATAGAAAACTTGGCTGACTCTAGGTTATAATTTCATAGCTTGGTTTACTTGTTAGTAAAATCCCTTATAAAAGACTATTTTCCCTTTGCGATTTGTCTAGTCTGATAAAAGCAGAGCATAAAAGCATTATTGATTAGGGATGCTAATCAGCTTTTACTGTAGTTAGAAGTTAGAATGGAAATAATAAAATATTCTATAGATAAATGAAATGACCTGCCTGGAAAAATTTTAATAACAAAAAGTTGGTAACCAGATTAATGGCTGTAGAATGTGAGAATATCCTTGAGATAATATTCCTATAAATCAAATCGATTACATCATGCTTGATTTTAATTAATGCAAAGATTAACAAGAAAAATGGCAAACTTTAAAAATGCTCCAATCCTGTCTATTCCGACAGTAATTCCTTTATCCATGAAATAAATATTTACTCAGCATTGCCATATGTTAGGAAATGGGGAAACTGTGGGAAATAAGCAGACAGATTTCTCTTCTCATGGATCTCCATATTGATGAAAAAATTGACACTGAAAATTTAACAGTAGTCTAGGCACATTGGCTCACACCTGTAATTCCAGTACTTTGGGAGGCCAAGATGGGAGGATTATCTTAGGTCAGGAATTCAAGACCAACCTGACCAACATGTTGAAACTCTGTCTTTACTAAAAATACAAATATTAGCCAGGTTTGGTGGTGCATGCCTGTAATCCCAGCTACCTGGGAGGCTGAGGCACGAGAATCACTTGAACCTGGATGGTAGAGGTTGCAGTGAACTGAGATTGCACCACAGCACTCCAGTCTGGGCAATAAGCAAGACTCTATCCAAAAATAAAATAAAATAAAATAAAGAAAGGAAAATAAAATGTAACTGCAAGCACTCAGAGTGTGATAAGAACTGCAAAGCGCTGTACATCTCTAGTTTAGGGTAGGAATCAGAAAAATCTTCCTGGCGAAAATGATATTTAAGATGAAAACCAGAGAAAAAGTAAGATGTAGTAGGGGGAGAAGAAAGCATTCCAGAAAGGAAAAATATAATATCATGGCCCTTAAGATCCTGGCATGCTTAAGGAGCCAAAAGTCCAGTAGGGCTCGGGGATCAGAGAGCTGAAAGGAGAATAATGCCTCCCTTGGCTCAGCCATTAGTTAGCGGCCAGAGCATTTAGGCCATTGTACCGTTCTTAGGATTCTGGGAAGTCACTGATGAGTTTAAAACCTGGGGTGATGCAATCAGATTTGTTTTGTAGAGATACATTGTAATCTGAGGAACAGTTGGGAGGGTGGCAAGACTAGATGCAAGGAGACCAGTTAGGAGACTATTGAAGTACTCCAGGTGAGAGATGGCACCATTAGGATGGAAAGGGGTCAATGAATTTGAGAAATCTTGGTAAGGTAGAATTAAAAGGATTTACAGACTGATTGGCTGTGAGCGAAGAGTTGAGGATGTAAAAGGTTAAATGCGTTTACCAATGTCTGGACTGCATATCTAGGCTTATAGTGCTGCCTCTATATTTGAAGTACTTTGTGATAAGATAATGCAGTCTTTGAACCTCACTTCCTTTAGAAAATTTTAAGCTAATATTCAAAATTGTACTAATTTAAATCCAAATTCAAGACTACATTGCTTTTCATTTAACCTCTTTTATATTATACCTTTATCTTTTTTCATCTACACCAAGAATCCTGATTCCCAAGGACACAAGGGATGATAGAATATTCCATATATATTCATTCACTTTATCCCACATTACAATCATCACAGTCTCAGAATAACACTAATATTACTGTTGCCTATGCAATGACTGAGAATGGGTTTATTTTTTCCTCCCTCTATTTCTTTGTAGTTACACAATATTCTGTCTGAACATTTGGCCATATATACCATATTCTCTCTCACTCTTTGAAAAATACTTGTCTGAATTCTGTAAGTAACTACATCTTTAATGCTACCACATGGCATCATGTTGATATTTCTCTAGTCATTCTGGCTGTCCAGAACATTCTTTAGAAGGATCTTCAGGAAGGGAACTAGGGAAATATTTCCCTGAGTTCTTGTATGTTGTTCACAGTTACTCTGCACCCTGTATACTTGAAAGTCAGTTTGCTGAATATAAAAATCACTGTCATGATGAGCATTGATGCAAAAATCCTCAATAAGATACTGGCAAACAAAATCCAACAGCACATCAAAAGGTTTATCTATCACTACCAAGTAGGCTTCATCCCTGGGATGCAAGCCTGGTTCAATATACACAAATCTATAAATGTAATCCATCACATAAACAGATCAAAGATAAAAACCACATGATTATCTCAATAAATGCAGAGAAGGTCTTTGACAAAATTCAACAGCCCTTTATGCTAAAAACTCTCAATAAACTAGGTATCAATGGAATGTATCTCAAAATAATAAAAGCTATTTATGACAAACCCACAGGAAATATCATACTGATGGGCAAAAACTGGAAGCATTCCCTTGGAAAACTGGCACAGGACAAGGATGCCCTCTCTCACCATAGAGATCCAACATACTATTGAAAGTTCTGGCCAGTGCCATCAGTCAAGAAAAAGAAATAAAGGGTATTCCATTAGGAAAGGGGAAGTCAAATTGTCTCTACATGCAGATGACATGATTGTATATTTAGAAAACCCCATCATCTCAGTCCAAAATCTCTTTAAGCTGATAAGCAACTTCAGCAAAGTCTCAGGATACAAAATCAATGTGCAAAAATCACAAGAATGTCTATACACTGCTAATAAACAAAGAGGCAAATCATGAGTGAACTCTCATTCACAATTACTACAAAGAAAATAAAATACCTAGGAATATAACTAACAAGGGATGTGAAGGACCTCTTCAAGGAGAACTACAAACCATTGCTCAAGGAAATAAGACAGGACACAAACAGATAGAAAAACATTCCATGCTCATGCTTAGGAAGAATGAATACTGTGAAAATGACCATACTGCCCAAAGTCATTTATAGATTCAATGCTCTTCCCATCAAGCTACCATTGACTTTCTTCACAGAATTAGAAAAAAACCACCTTAAACTTCATACAGAACCAAAAAGAAGTCCCACATCCCCAACACAATCCTAAGCAAAAAAAAAAAAAAAATGTTGGAGGTATAATGCTACCTGACTTCAAACTACACCACAAGGCTACAGTAATCAAAAACAGCATGGTACTGGTACCAAAACAGAGATACTGGACCAATGGAACAGAACAGAGGCCTCAGAAATAGTGCCACACATCTACAACCATCTGATCTTCGAAAAACCTGACAACAACAAGCAATGGGGAAAAGATTCCCTATTTAAAAAACAATAGTGGGAAAATTGGCTAGCCACATGCAGAAAGCTGAAACTGGATCCCTTCCTTATACCTTATACAAAATTAACTCCAGATGGATTAAAGATTTAAACTTAAGCCTTAACACCATAAAAGCCCTAGAAGAAAACCATTCAGGATATAGAAAAGGACAAGGACTTCATGACGAAAACACCAAACGCAATGGCAACAAAAGCCAAAATAGACAAATGAGATCTAACGAAACTAAAGAGCTTCTGCACAGCAAAATGAACAATCATTAGAGTTAACCAGCAACCACAGAAGGGGAAAAAAATTTGCAGTCTACCCATCTGACAAAGGGCTAATATCCAGAATCTACAAAGAACTTAAACAAATTTTCAGGGGAATAAAACAAACAACCCCATCAAAACGTGTGCAAAGGATATAAACAGACACTTCTCAAAAGAAGACATTTATGCAGCCAACAAATACATGCAAATAAGCTCATCATCATTGGTCATTAGAGAAATGCAATTTAAAACCACATTGAGATACCATCTCATGCCAGTTAGAATGGCTATCATTAAAAAATCAGGAGACAACTGTGGCTGGAGAGGATGTGGAGAAATAGGAACACTTTTATATTGTTGGTGGGAGTATAAATTAGTTCAAGCATTGTGGAAGACAGTGTGGCAATTCC